TTTTTTTTTTTTTAAAGCAGCGAAGAACTCCTTCAGTGCTAAGGAAGAAGCAGTCGTTTTCAGAGACTGTGCAGAAGCATTCAAGTCAGGGAGGACAGCGAACGGCATCTATACGCTGGTGTTCCCAAACTCCACAGAGGAGATAAAGGTATGGGGACAGGGTCCTGTTTTCAACTACCTGGCCGGAAACAGGCTTCCTGGAGGCCGAGGAAGTACATAACACAGTTCACGTGCTCAGACCCTTCCCTGCTTCACGCACAGCCAAGCCACAAACACAGAGCGTCTACCTCACAACAGGTACTTGCCGAGGGCTCCAAGTGCAGTCACTGTGCACAGATGCTGACCGTACGCATCAGTGATGCAAAAATTTCTATCTCATAATGTAGGAGACAGATCTCTCTCTCCTATTCTCGTCGCGTTTAACTTAATCATCGCACCGCGAGTTGTTTTCCTTAAAGCGTCAGACTGGTTTCACTCATTTTAAAGAAAATGTCTTCTAAATACTAGAGTTTACATAAGCAAATAGTTTGTCTTTCACGGGCTATTTCAAGTAGCAATGGTATTCCATCAGAGAAAGAAAAAAAAGGCTCACGTAGGTCACAACTAAAACCACCACAAGAGCTTTGCTTTGACACAACCACGGTACCCTGGTTTGCAGAAGGGATTTATAGACATCTCACACTCCAGCGTAGAGCATATAGGAAGACCTATATTCGGTAGTAGAGGCTTAAATAAAATGAATAGTCATTGCTGCTTTGTCAAAGACATCCTGAAGTGAAACTGCCTTATCTTCTTCCCAACTGCGAGTGTGTGACTCAATATAGTGACACAAATACAGTGTGGGCTATTCCCTCGATTCATCCCAGGGTGCTAGCAGATCCTGCCCCGCCCCCCACCCCAAATGATTCTGTGCCATCAGTACAAACACCGTTACACTGTCAGAGGCCGAAAACATCTTAGTGTCTTTACAGAAACAGTTCCAGCCTGGCGGACTCACTGTAAGGGTCTCAGGGACACCCAGGAGTCTGTAGTCCACACCATGCGGATTGCTATCCACGTGGGTGGGCTATCCTTACCCCATCTAATGGAGGCTGGAAGACTTAAAACATACCACCAAAGAGAGAGGCTCATTTTCTTCTCAAGTATTTGGACTTTATTTCAAGGCATAAGCTCAATTACTTTGTAGAAAGTGAACCAACAGCCAGAACCTTTCAGCAGGAGAAGTTAGGATATAGCTGGATTCAATTATTCTTAGTCCTTTTGGATTACTCAGGGAGCATGATTCCTGAAGTTGCTTTGGGAGACACCGAGCTTCAGGTAAGGAAAAAAAAAAAAAAATCACATTCCCAAGGAACATTTCAATGTGGCTTCTCCTAGAGGTTTGATAAGTTAAAACAATATTACATGAGATTCGGCGTGAAGTCTTTTATAATGATTAGACAGCTGTATATATTAAATGATTATAAATATGCTTGCATCTAATTCGAACGGCTAGATGTGGAACCAATGTAAACACTTCTTCTTTTTTTTTTTTTTTTACAATCTTTTAATGTTTATTTTTGAGAGAGAGGCAGAGACATACCACGAGAGGGGAAGGGGCAGAGAGAGGGAGACAGAATCCGAAGCAGGCTCCAGGCTCTAAACTGTCAGCACAGAGCCTGACGCGGAGCTCAAAATCACCGTCTGTGAGATTATGACCTGAGTGAAGTCGGTCGCCCAACCGACTGAGCCACCCAGGCGCCCTTATGAACAAACCAATGTAAACACTTCTAGAGAAGGCCATCGATACTGTATCACAATGGAAATTTTAGAGGCTCCTGGAAGTGTTACCTCTTTGAACTCAGTATTATCCTCAGTATTTAAAATGCAAGTAAAGAAAAACACTTTCAAAATTTAAGCATTAAGGGTTTAAAGACAGAGAATTTGAAGCACGAACACATACTTTGATTATGAATTTAAAAGATAAATATTGTGCTATTCAAGATAATACTTTCCAAAGAAAATCTTTCTAATTCACTCGTGCTGCTTTAAATCAACCTTGGAAATCAGTTAATGTCCCCAATGCCCTAGAAGCAGCGCATTAGCGAGGAGAAAAACAAAACATAAATGGTCTGTTGCAGATGAGAAAGTAACGAACAGATTCTGTGCTATGGCTCTCGATCCCCTTTGCAATGTGGTTTTCATAAGTTTTTGGGAACTACTGTCTGTCACCAGATGTTGGTCTCTTCTTGGCCTAGAGCAAATGGGGACAGGAGTGGCAATGGGAGGGGGAACGAGGATATCAGTGCAAGGCAGACGCTTTGCAAATCCAGAGGGCAATCGCCCACTACACGGCCCCAACCTACTGCTCTGAAAAGGTTTTCCTGACTCAGTGCCATGTTCCCGCCCCACGGCGCTCAATCAACCCCACCTCCTAACTGGAGGGATCTATGGCAAGATGAAGATATATAGTACTGTGGGGTGGGGGCGGGAGTATGTGACATGAGCCTCAGGTCATGGTTGGAAACATTAGGATTTATACTTCTTTTAAACATTTGCAGTAAAAACAACTCATTTACACAGCAGGGAACAGTAATCTTACAAAACCTCAATTTTCACATCTGTAAAATAAATGCTCCGGATTAAGTTACTTGTAGATTCCCTTTCAGACTTAAGCCTCCGTAATTCACAACCTGATCCAGGGAGAGAGGGTCTGAGAGACTGGAGTTTAAATTCTGGCTCTGCCAATTTGCGCCTCTGAACAAGTCGTTTACCCTGGGTGAGGTCTCAGTTTCCCAATCTGTAACATCATGAAGTAACCTCAGTCTTCTAGAGCTGTTCCGAGATGACGATGGAGATCCGACACTTAGGACAGGGCTTGGTACTTAACCATCAGTTCGATAAACAGGAACCGTTTACCATTCGGACTGCCCCCAAAGATGCCGGGATAATTTCTCTGCATGACAGGGTAGTCATTTTTGCCCTGTTTCTTCTAGTTCAGGAAAAGAACGTTCAGCAGATCTCTGGGCTGACCTTTTCCAAAAGGGCCCAAGTATTTCAACTTTATTTTTGAAAAACCCATTAGGTTTCTGCAAACAATAAAAACTGCACCAGAGGGATTTGAATATGCTCTTGCTGGTCAGACACCTAATAACTGCCCTCCCTAAATTTCACAGGGTACCTGTCCCCTAGTGCTTATCTGTGGGTTTGCGGCTTTATCAGTCATTCACCATGGCCTCAGAGCCGAAGCATGGCATTTAAATCAAGCATTATTTGTTGAAAGACTTTGAAGCAAGATGTCAGGTCCCTGAACCATGTAGTCGTGTGCTAACCAAAAGTATTAACCGCCCTCAGGTTTGTTGTAGCTGGAGTGGTAAGGTCTTGGGCATTGTCCGAAGACTTCTGCTTTCCTGATCCTGAGATAATCTACCTCGTCCTTTTCACTCCGTGCTCTCTGGCTATGTGGACGACTCTCTTTGAACATGATCTTCCCCTGAAAGTTTCACAACTCAATTCACCACGACACTTCAGCTTCTATGAACTCTCTGTTGTTTTTTCTTTTTAAGTGGGACAAGAAAACATTGAGGAAATGTTCTCATCATCTCATCACTGTCCGTGGTGGAGTTAGAGATTAGTAAGGCCCCACACATTTCCACACGGGCAGTGACTCTCAGCCAATCTGGACTCTGATTTTCATACAAAACTGAACTCTGATTTTAAGTATCATTGACTTCATCATAATGGTGATTTTTACAGCAAAGAATCAAACATTCTTGGAGTAAGGACAGGCTTGCCCCAATCCATATCTGGTCTTTCCACCCACCAGCATGCTATTTAGGATACAGAGGAAGTGGACTTCTCTGTACACATATGACTCCTCAAACCAATATTCAGCTAGTTTACTATACTGATTTTCTTAGAAGACACTGAGAAAACTAAGCAGTACGGACCACTGGGTGGACTACGGGCAAATAAGAGGCAGCATTATTCATGAACTGAGATCAGCTTGGAGCTGTGTTGAGGGACTTCTGGTCTCTTAACAAAAGGGTCAAGTTACTCTGTTTTGGGCTGCATGGTATGGTAGAAAAAGCAGTACAGAATGAAAAATCTGAGAGACCTTATTCAAGTCCTATATCTTGCACTTCCGGTCAAGTTAATCTCACTTTATCCATTGTTTTCTCCTTTCAAAAGAGCAGCATTACAGCATCACAGCAAAGTTGCTTCAGGGTTGCTGATAACCTATGCCAAGTACCAAGTGTGGTACTTGGAACAGAGTAGTATTGAGCAATGATCACAAGATAATTAACAATAGTAATACACCAATACAGGGAGACAATAAGGGGTTACCTTAAGCAGGTCAGTTTTATCTATCTGGTTAATTAAAAATGGGAAAATCATTTTATTCTTAAGAAATGTAGTTTTCTTTACTGGAGCATATGTTTCCAAACATAGGATCATCAGGGAAAGCTATATGGGCCAACGGGCCCTTGGAGACACAGAGAGAAGTGTGCTGGAGAACAGGGAGCTGGGTCCCCAGGGCAGCTGTCTATATCGTTAGCAATGAGGTGTCAGGCAAGCCGCTTAAAATGAAAGAGGGGGTCTATGCTTTTTCTTGGTTCTCCTTCATCCCCCATTCTTTACAATTTTAACTCACAAATGCAGAATAGTTTACATTTAGACCTACTCTGCCAAAATTATCTCTACCATTTCCCCAAAACACAAAGGAAAACAACAGGGTAGGACTATTTCTCATTGGCTTTGAACATTAACTTTCATATTTACTACCTTGTATGTTGTAGGAAAATTTATCATAACCTTCTGGGAAAATTTTTCGTTCTACTATAATCTCATTATTTAAAACTATTTATGTAATCTTATTTTCAGGGGTTTTCAATTTCATAATAAAACTCCAGCTGAGTGGAAACTGAGCACGCATGGTCCTAGCCCAAGAAGGAATTCTGTGTTCTGAGCAAAGTTTAAACCCACCAAGCCAGTTTAAAAGCAAAAATAAAAATAGCTAGGAAGTGAAATACCACGGGCAGTGAGCAAAGTACAAAGAGGCTTGAAGTCCTGATCTGTGGGTCAAAGCTCCCAGCAGATTCTCAGGTCCCATACACCAAGCTGGGTGCACAGAGCCTCAGATCTCTCATACTGAGGGGTGAACAGACTCTTATCCCATGTGGAAGAAGCCTTCTAGCCCCACAACGTAATATAACAGGGGTCTCAGAAAACCTACAGTGCAAAAACACCCCTTCTACACAACTCTCTGCAAAGCTGATAGGGACTGGCAACTACCATAAAACTTCCTGGGGTTGCAAACACCAGTTAGTAGATTTCTATAGGTTGGAGATGAGGTTTGGGGCCAAAATGCCAAGATGTCCCATTCACAATAAATCTCTAAGAAACAGCGATCTTTGGGTCAGCTGTTGGGGGTGGGTCTTTAGCCTAGAACAGAGGAAAGTCATACTGTCATCAGCACTGAAATCTTGTTCTACTACTGTTTACCTGCCATCAACATTTTCAATTCCTGGTTCTTAACATACAATAAAACCTTGGATTGCAAGTAACCTGTTCTGGGAGTGATCCACAAGAGAAGCAAGCATTTCTAGTAAATTTTAACTTGATAAGGGAGCAATGTCTTGCAATACGAGTAGTATGTGAGGGGTGCCTGGGTGGCTCAGTTGGTTAAGCTTCCAACTTCGACTCAATTCAGGATCTCATGGTTCAGGAGTTTGAGCCCTGTGTGGACCTCTGTACTGAGAGCTGGAGCCTGGAGCCTGCTTCAGATTCTGTGTCTCCCTGTCTCTCTACTTCCCCCCACCCCCCACAACCACCCCGTGCCATTTGTGCTCTGTCTCTCTCTGTCAAAAATGAACATTTAAAAAATGCAAACAAACAAACAAAAAGAGTATGTGACACCAAACATCACATGATCACAACTGAGCCAATGGTTCTTGAAATTCGCTTTGATATACAAGTGCTGTGCATTACAAGCATGTTTCTGGAACAAGTTATGCTCATAAGCCAAGGTTTTACTGTATTTAAAACCAGGGCGCCTGGGTGGCTCAGTCGGTTGAGTGTCCGACTGCAGCTCAGGTCATGAGCTCACGGTGTGTGGGTTCGAGCTCTTCGTCAGGCTCTGTGCTGACACCACTTCGGATCCTCGGTCTCCCTCTCTCTCTGCCCCTTCCCCATTTGTGCGTTCTCTCTCTTTCTCTCTTAAAACTAAATAAACATTTAATGTATTCAGAATGATCTGCTTCTTGGAAGGCCATAAAGATTGACCCCATGGCACAAGTCACATGATAGGTATCTCCATCTGTCCTGTTTCCGTGAGTTCCAATGAAGACCTGACTCACTGATGTTTCCCACACAATGACTGTGCACTTCCCATTGGCAGGCATACTGCGACATGGAGACGGCTGGAGGTGGGTGGACCATCATTCAGCGGCGGGAAGATGGCAGTGTTGACTTCCAGAGGACTTGGAACGAATATAAAGTGGTATGAATACTCTTCAACCCATCTGAACACAATTTTCTTTGTGAAAACTGATTTTCAAGATCTGCAGAGCCTTCACCACAAATCCAAAACTAACCAATGACTGCTGACAATTTTTGTTATCAAAGGGTTCCCTTTAGCTGATGCTTCAGTCTCTCCAGTAACGAATGAGACTGTCAGTGTAGTATAAACTAGAGATCAAAACAAAGGCATGCAAGTGAGAGGCTTATTTTTAATGGCAGGCTCGGTGTTTTTCGGTAACCCAACTGTTTTCAAAACTGCACGTCAATAACCTGAGCGGTTTATGCTCATGTTTCTCCTGGTGATTCCCCAAGTAGTTCTAATTACTCTAATACTAATTTCCTTCCAGTAGCAGCTTGGTTTCTTAAAGCAGACCTTTTAAAAATCTACTTTCTTATCTGGAAGACCCCCAAATTTTCAGAATACAGGAAAGAATTTCTGCTATCTGACAGTCACCCCAGGTTAAACTGATAGGCTACTGATTTCAAATACATGAATTAAAAATAAATGAGGTGACTGAATTTTACAACTTGGATTACAGGGATTTGGGAACCCTTCCGGTGAACACTGGCTGGGAAATGAGTTTGTTTTCCAAGTGACCAATCAACAGCCCTACGTGCTTAAAATACACCTTAAAGACTGGGAAGGGAATGAAGCGTACTCACTGTATGAACATTTCTCTCTCTCCAGTGAAGAATTCAATTACAGGTGAGTTATATGTAACTGAAAGACATTAATGGATTTGCTGTGCGACTATTCCAGGAAGGGAGAGCCCGACTGCATTAAGCAGGATCTGAAGTACTCGGAGGATACCTTAATGGAAAAACCTCTCATTTCTTAGAGTTCTATGCTGCTTTTCCGTAACTATCTCTAGTTTTAAAATTCCAACTTAGGTTTTAACAACATGAGGGACGCTTCATTTGTTTTGTTGTATTTGCTGCGTATCCTCAAGGAGTAGATGAACCCTGCCTGGCAGCTGACAGGCATTGTTCAACAAATATTTGTAGACTATGTGGATGTTGCATCTGTATCATAAAATGCCATGCCAAGATCATGACACATGTACACCTAGGACTATGTTGTTTTCTTCTGAAAAGGTTTGAACAGTTCAATCTATCTTTCTGCAGCTTGAACGCCCTCAATTCTAACGTTCCATCCCCAAGTCAGGATGAGTTACCAAGTTTAAAAAGTGGCAGAATGAGGTGGGAGGCTTAGTCATGCAAACTCCTTTACTCTCTGCTAGAGAAACAACAGTTGATTCACAGCACTCTCTTAGTATTTGCCTTGCCCCACGCATTTGGCGGCACTAATCTAGAATGTTCCAAGAAAAGCACGGGCATCCTTGACTCAGAATGTAGTTTCTGGCTCTCAAACGCCGTGAGCGTGGAAGCGGAGAACAGCGAAGGCACCGAGAGACCAGTGCCTGGAGAGCTGCTATTAGGGCAGATACCGGGAAGGCGCGTTTGCCGTCAGGGAAGGAGGTACCTAGAAACGCACGTGCAAGGCCAGACAGAGAATAGGGAGGTCGCGTGCCAGGTGGCTCCGCGGGAATTGGCCTCAGGAGGCACAGCAGAACTGTCCAGTCACCGACACAGCCCTGGAGGGCTCTGAAAGGCGTAAGCACACGTCACGAAAATACGTACACTGAGGTCAGAAATCAAGTTCGATGGGAACGCCACGGAAAACAGTGGTCTACAGTCCCAACTGAATCTCACTGACACCCAACTCAGACCCTCTGCCCAATAGAAAATCTGAGATCTGAACAGCTTGGAAAATAAACACGATCTCAAAGTCCTGGAGCTGGCTTCCCAGGGGAGGGTCACAGTGAACAGCAGAGAAATAAAAATAGGCTGAGCAGCTTGCCTGAACAACTACCTGAGGACCACATAATGTCCAGTATGTGCTGCTTTATAAGCAGGGGTCAAAATTCTGAAAACTCTGAACGCAGCTAACGTGCGGCTAGCACTGACATGACTTTTAGAAAGTCAGTGAAACAGGGCCCAGCAAGTCTCCTTAGAGACAGATCAGGGCTCTCCTGGAGGAGCAATGACTCAGATGGATGAAAAGATAGGTGTTTGGGCCTCACTGCAGCTCTAAGTCGACTCCAAAGAGATCAAAACGTCAATGAATTTTTAGACACGAGTGGTTGGTCATTGTTTTACGTCCAAGCTAAATATTTTCTCAACTGGCAACAGTTAGGAATCTACAACAGAGGAATTAAAAAAAAAAAAAAAAAAAAAAAAAAAAAAAAAAAAAAAAAAAAAAGAAAAAAAAAAGAAAGAACCACAAAAAATTAAGGATTAGACTGTTTATCTAAGGAGATTTTACAAAATGGGTCATTACCCTTGTATGCTGACATTATAAAGATATTTTAAACTGAGATGGTTCTTAACAGATATTTCCTTTAGAAATGCGATCAATTTTTGGATATGCCATTTAAAAGAGCACACGTTCACTTAAAGCTCAGTTTAATTCACTTGGCTATACTACAGCCACAGAGGTGTTTTTTTTTTTCCCCCTCAAGAAGTGTTCTCCAAAGGTTGGTAAACCGAAAAATAAATGTTCTAAGGAAGGGCAAAATGCATCAATAGAATATTTTTTGTTACTGAAGCTAAAAACTATTTGTATATTAAATGTTAAAGACTGGTCACTTTTCACAAACATTCTGGCAGCTCCATACAGTGAGATGTCATTATCAAATGCTGGCACTGTTTTGTTTTCTTTGTTTTCTTCACTCCACTGTTCTATAAAATCAACTGATACCAATTTAAAGCAGTTTTAACAATGTGGTCATTCTTAATAACCAAAATTTAAAAGAAAGCAACTATAAAGCAAGGGCCCATACAACAGAAGGATCTAATATGATAGCAACCTTCCTCACAAAGACAAATAAAAAACAGTATTCTCACAGATTCTGCTCACCTTTGGGGAAATTTCATGAGTCCCGTAAGAACCAATGTTGCTCAAAGGAGATAAGAGACTGGAAAGGAGTAAGGGCAAGCATAATGGTTTATCTCAACCCTATCTATGATTAATGAGAAGGGCCTGCAAAGAAATTAAAGTGTTTCAGAAACCCACAAATGAGTACGACATACATGAACGCTTCGCAGCAGGTAATCAGAGGCTGCGTTAGGGGCCGGGGTCATTTTTGAAACACGAGGATAGCACTGAAATTCAGAAATTCAGCCAATGCCTTGGGAGGTGGGGGGTTCTAGGGCTGCAATACGAAAAACGATTTTAAATCTAAGTCATTAACACAGAAGTGACTTAGAACCAACATTTTATGGAACTCTGTTTAGCGTGCTCCATACCCCCATCTTTTCAGAACTATTCCTCAATAAACTAACATCCCTGGTAAGGTTCTATCAGGGCCGAAGCATAACAGAGGATTTTGATGCGTCTAGTGCAGATTGTAGCTCCACCATGCTCCTATCTCTGAGCCTCAACAATTTTATATGTAAATTTTTTTAATGTTGATTTATTTTGGGAGGGAGAGAGAGTGAGCGGGGGAGGACCAGGGAGAGAGAGGATCCAAAGCAGCTCCGTGCTGACAGCTGAGAGCCCGAGGTGAGCGGCTCACCTCACAAACCGTGAGACTACAACCTGAGCGGAAGTCAGTCGCTTAACCTACTGAACCACCCAGGTGCTTCAACAATTATGTATGTAAAAACAGGGGAAATGCCTGCCTCTCGGGGCTGGTGCATGCATTCCATGCACAAACCCGTGAAAGTGCCTGGCACAGGCTGGTTAGAGACGGTCCCTGGTGAGCCTTCCCTTTCTTTTCTACCCTCTGTTCCAACATGAATTCTTGGAAATTACATTCCTTTCAAGGTAGTGGTTAGCAAAAGATGAGCATCATTTTGGAGACTTAAAATATGGTTCTCCCTCAAGACATTGAAGGGGTTTTGTTTTGTAGCATCCCCGGTCAGGAAGACTCCATACCCCAGGCTCCCCCACGGCCCTACTCCACGTACCAGTACAGGCACGTCACATTCCGCACAGCCACACAACAGCACGTGAAACCCTGCTCTGAGCTGTACTGTGCCCACCTGCCAATGGGCTTTCTTGAAGCAGTGTTCACATACTTTGTCTTTCCCTTCTGTCTCCTCCTTGGCACACAGACCACTGATGCAAGCCTGGTTTGGGCAATCTTCTACAAGGATGGGCTATTTTCTAGTGTCTGACTTAATACTATGCTTATTCCTTTCTCAGTATCTAGCAGGTTTATTACAATATTATATGGAAATGAGGCGAAGCAGCCATAAGGATGTATTTTCTACACAGCGCTGTAGATTTCTACTCCAGATTCAGTGATCCTTCCTTGCCCACTGCCCTTCCCACCCCCACCACCCCACTGAAAATAACGACGCTTGAAGTTGTCTGTTCATCTTGGGGCTCTCATTTCTGTACGGATGATGCCTGGAGACTTGGAAAGAGGACCCTTTCACGTTGTATTTCCCCCTCTTCTGTTTATCTGAAAGCAGCAGGAAAATAAATGAAAGGGCCCTGAAGCCCCTGTTGATGCTTGTGCAAGTGATATGAGCTGAAGGTTTCATGAAAACATTCCTCACTGCCTAAGGATTTGATGATAAGTTGGTTCCTGTTTATACCAGCGCAAAAATATTTTGTCCAGAGTATGCATTTGCACACTAACCAGTACAGAACGCATTTCTGCAGAATGGAATTCTTCATTATAAAAAATTTTCCACTACGGTAAATCAACAGCCCAAGCCAATTATGTTCTTTTCTTTTCTTTTTTTTTTTTTTTTTCCTTTGCATGCTTGCAGGATTCACCTTCAAGGACTTACAGGGACAGCCGGCAAAATAAGCAGCATCAGCCAACCAGGAAATGATTTTAGCACAAAGGATGCAGACAACGACAAATGTATTTGCAAATGTTCACAAATGCTCACAGGAGGTGGGATGGCTTTTCTCTCTTCCTATTTGTTTTGGCAAGGAAGAATTTCATAAGAGTGAGAGGCTGGCTATTTGGACTTCAACCTGTGATTGGTGACAATGGCCACATTTCATAAACAGACTTAACTTGCTAGATGTAGGGAGATTTGTTTTTCACTTTTGCAGACTGTTGAGTCTTAAGCAAGAATGTGATGTTGCGCGAAAACTGTCAGCAGGCCAACTGAGTGTCTCTTCGGGACCTCACTCTGGCACTGAGAGGGGACATCTGATACTCAGCAAGCTCTCTTGAGTTTGTGCTCGTTGAGTAGCAGATGTCAGAGCCATGGTTCAATTTCATATTGCTTTATTAAAAAGGATAAAAATTCGGGGTGGCTCAGTCGGTGAAGGGTTCGGCTCTTGGTTTCAGCTCAGGTCATGATCTCATGGTTCAGGAGTTCAAGCCCCACATCAGGCTCTTGGTGCTGACAGTGCAGAGCCTGCTTGGGATTCTCTCTCTCTCTCTCTCTCTCTCTCTCTTTCTCTCTCTCTTCCTTTCCACCTCTTTCTGCACCTCCCCTTTCTCTCTCTCTCAAAAATAAATAAAAACTTAAAGGTTAAAAATTCAAAACGGCAAGCAAGACAGTGACAAAGATTCATTAACATAGAAATGTCTCCTATTAATAATTTATTGGTCAAACGTGGAATTTTCGGTTATCTTTTTTTTTTTTAAGATTTCATTAATATACAGCATACTTACAAACACAAAGAAACTAATCAACCTTTTTTTGTGCACCAAATTACAATGAATGATTGTCCATTTTACATTAAGGTGTGTATTCTCATGCTCTTCTTGCTGGCTACCTTTCTCATTAGACGGCTTCAAAAAAAATTTCATGGGTTCAAGCCCCACATATGGCTCTATGTCTATACTGATAGTGCAGAGGCTGCTTGGGATTCTTCCCCCCCCCAAGCAACCCCTCCCTGCTGGCTCTGTCTCTCTCTCTCTCTCTCTCTCTCTCTCTATGTCTCTCTCTCAAAATAAACTTAAAAAAACCTTTTTTTAAATGGAAACCACACCCAGATTAGTAGTCAGAAACATAAGAGTTCAATGACAAGAAATCAACTGCTAGAAGATGCACTCTTCCAATTTCTAAAAGTTTAAAAATTGAATGAACACAACCAGTTATGACCAAGACAAGATGAAAGTTTGACGTGTTAGTTCTTAAAAATACTGAGAGATTTAAATTTTTTTGTAATGTTTATTTCTGAGAGAGAGAGAGAGAGAGAGAGAGGGAGAGGGAGGGAGGGGGGAGGGAGAGAGAGAGAATGAGTGAGAATGAGTGGGGGAGAGGCAGAGAGAGAGACACACACAGAATCTAAAGTAGGTAGGCTCCAGGTCACGAGCTGTCAGCACAAGAGCCTGACGTGGGGCTTGAACCCACGAGTCATGGGATCAGGACCTGAGCCGAAGTCGGATGCTTAAGCGACTAACCCACCCAGGCGCCTTGAAGAAATATTGAAATATTTAAACCAGCAACATAAATTCTGCCAACAGTACAAACTGAATGTGAAGGAAAACACGAAGTTGGCAGGGTTTAACGTATAGAGACCATAAGTTATATTACCAAAAAATCCATTCTTTACTCACCCAGGAAAGACAAAGGTAAGCGCTGTGGTCAATGGATTTTATAAATATAAGGTACTACACAAACAAGATCTAAGCTTATCATGTGTTTGCACTTCAGTTAAGAATCATTTACAGTCAAAAGAAAGGATTTACTTCTGAAAATAATTTGAAACTCAGCAATTTACACATCTTTTAAACAATACTGAAAGAATGAGGATCCATTAAAAATTCAGTCTTTTAGATAATATATTTCTACGTACAAACATAATATATACTGGCAGTACAGGTCTTCCCTATTAGCCATAATTATTTCAGCAAGAGAAAGCTACTGTATTGAGTATTTAAAGCTGCCTGTCTCCCTCATCCTACCATCATTGTCCTTTTTGAAGCCAACAAAAAGGGGGGAAGGGGTAGGTTCGGGGGGACCAAATCTACTGAATCTTTTTTTCCCATCTGTCATTCCCACACTGAACCCAGCTGTCCAGTCGAGAGGGAGGCAGCTTTCAGACCACCCGTATGTCATGAGCTACTCAAGAGAGTCAGAGAAGTGCATTAATAACCAAGGAAACAATATATTTATTTACTCAAATCAAGATTTAGGGCTGAGAGTGGGAGTAGGAAAGAGAACGGCGAGAAGAAACACAGCCCAAGAGAGAAAGTGCAGTGGTCCCGACTGTGAGGAGGTCAGGTTCCAACTCACAGCCTGGGCCCTGGGTAAACCAGCCTAACAATCAGCTAGAGTTTTGCACGGACAGCAAATTTTATAGTTAAGTCAGCCAGGAGGCTCTAGAACAGACAGATCTATAAATCCGCAACATTCCTAAATATTTGTGAAGGATTCTGAATAGCACACGCACAAATGTCTTATCAAATCGCCATTAATCTGAATCAGCTTGACCCATGAGCTGTCACCATCAGGAAAGAATTCAGGCAACTGGATGAAATAACTGATCATCACAGCCTGATGTGCAAATATGATAATAGAATCATTATATCAAAATATTTTTTACCTAAATAAACAGAACTTCACAGATACAACTAAAGGCGCCCAACAAATACCTGCCCCTTGGGGTAACCAATGAATTCAGGTTCATTTCCATTATTTAGTTTGCTAGGAATGCAGACATCAATAATAGGTGTTTTTTTCCGTTATTCTAAAATCTAACATAAATGGCACCATACTGTCTGTGGACTTCCACACAATGTTTCTAGGACTGCTTTAGATTAATGCATGTAGATCTAAGCTATTCCTTCTCCTTGAAAACCAGAGCTCTTGCACACTCCTGTGTCTAGCTAAGAGCTTTAAAACCCTAAGGTTAGGGGCACCTGGGTGGCTCAGTCAGTCAAGCGCCTGACTCTTGGTTTCAGCTCAGGTCATGATCTTGTGGTTTTGAGAGTTCCAGCCCCACATGGGGCTCTGCACTGTCAGTGCAGAACCTGTTGGGGATTCTCTCTCCCTCTCTCTGTCCCTCCCCAACTCACGTCTCTCTCAAAATAAACTTAATTTAAAAACTTTCCTTTAAATTAAAAAAAAAAAAAAAAAAAAAAAAAAAAAAAAAAAAAAAAAACCACAAAAACCCTTAAGGGTAGCCATTCAGGAGTAGATGTGGACCCACCTCCCCACCGCCGCTGCTGTGCCAGACAGCACCCCCTCACCTTAGCACACCACGATAGCTTTAAATTTCCTTTCTGTCTGTGGGGCTTAACGATTTCCTTCGTATCTAGCTCTTGTGAGCGCTTAAAACTTGGAGTCATTTAAAAAAGAAAAAAAGCACGGGAGGGGGAGGGGAGCCTGAATCAGCCTGGCCCACTAAGTTCCTGGAACTGGAACAGAAGCCAGCAGAGCCTTCGAACAATTCTTGAGTTTTGTGACTCATCCACACTTTCCACTGTGCTGGGGTACTCACCAAATCAGGACCTGGGACCACTCACCATTCATGCCTACGGGGAACTGGCCTTTCTACACAGCACGAGCCTGTGAAAACATCTGCCATATGGAACTGGAACTTCAGCTTGGTGACGCGGGAACGTCACACCCGCAACTGTCACTGCGGCTCGGTCTATGCTCAAGCATCCCTGCGTGTGTCTACTCCAAACACACGGAGCGTCACTGGTGGACTAGTGGGGCGTTTCTAGTGGTGAGATACGGGTAGGGTTGCCTCAGTCCTAATTCCTTGTGCGCCTTACTTCCACAGGCTGGTGGTTTGATGCGTGCGGTCCCTCCAACTTGAACGGAATGTACTACCCGCAGAGGCAGAACACAAATAAGTTCAGCGGCATTAAGTGGTACTACTGGAAAGGCTCAGGCTACTCGCTCAAGGCCACGACCATGATGATCCGACCCGCAGGTTTCTAAATGCCTGCACGCGCCTGAGGAGGGACGGGCTGTGCGATTTTCAAAGACTTAATCCCGGAGCTCTCAAAGACTCATCCACATGCTGTCTCCTCTACCATCTCGAGACGGACAGCACGCGCTCGGTGCACAGGGGTCCACGGGCTCCGGCCCCGAGTCCCTCGCACCTCCTCGCTTAGACCCGCATCACTCGTGAACCCCGAGCACAACCCTGGTTATGGTGACCTGTTGGAACGCCTATGGGAAGATAGAGTGAGGCCTGCGAATTTAGGACTGACAATTCACAGACGCTGTTGTCACAACCAAGAATGTTGTGTCGAGTTCATCCGTAAATAACTGGAAAACAGAACTCTCACGCTACGCAGTACAGATAACCTTGGAACTGCGTCCTTCTAAGTACTGTTTATAGATTGTATAAATATCCATATGTCCCGAGTTCAGCATCACTACCATAATTAAAAGAAAGAAAAAAAATTCTCTAAGCCATTAAAATATATTATATATTCAGGGACATTCTGGGAAGTGCTTATTTGCAGCTTATTTGGACAAGGAAAAACAGCTAACGCATTGTTTGCTCCTCTTAGGTGCTTTAAACTTTCATTTTGAAAACAGCATATTTACATATGTGTGGACAGCACACTTTTAAGTTAATGTTCATATATATATTTCAAGTTTTAAAGATGAAACCTCCCAGATCTCTGAAATTAATAGAAATGTGTGTCCTTTCAGTTTATATGAAGATTGTACTATTTTTTTTTCTTTCTGGCTGTTAAATATGAAGGTATTTTTAGTAATTAAATATAACTTATTAGATAACTACATTGAACATTTATGATAATATTTTCAAGTTTGTAATTTGATTCTGAAACAACTGACTGTGCCTCACAACAAGGAAAAATTTGATTTTTTTAATGATGAAGATTATGCATTTAATTCCCTGACAAACAGATTTTACTATACTTTCCTCGCTACTCTATTAGAGAGGTCTTTTTTTTTTTCTCTTCCAGTCAGACGTATTTTAGAGAGGTAGGCTACAATTTAGTGTGTGGTTGAGAAAACCTTTCTATTTAAAGCACTTATGAGGCTATACTTCTCAAGCGAGTTTCACCCCTAAAGATATTTGCACTAGTAACATTTTATTAGTAAAAATAATTTGCATTAGTGACTTTTTTTTTTTAATTTTTTAACGTTTTTTATTTATTTTTGAGACAGAGAGAGACAGAGCATGAACGGGGGAGGGGCAGAGAGAGAGGGAGACACAGAATTGGAAGCAGGCTCCAGGCTCTGAGCCATCAGCCCAGAGCCCGACGCGGGGCTCGAACTCACGGACCGCGAGATCGTGACCTGAGCCGAAGTCGGACGCTTAACCGACTGAGCCACCCAGGCGCCCCGACATTTTTTTTTTTTTTTTTTTTTTAATGTCGACCAGCAAACTTAAAAAAAAGTAACTGTTTTGGAGTGCAAAACAAAAATCTGACATTTAGAGTAGATTCAGATCTTTACAGAAAATTTTGAGAGCACGGATTTAAGGGCTGCAAAACTTTAAACCCCTCAAGTTTTAACTCCGTTTGAAGTTTTCATAGTCCAATTAACACTAATGTACATCGTGGAATGCTTTATAATTTGGAAGCAACTTCTCACATATTTGCCTCGGAGTCAGCTGCTGCTAGGAAGCTTAGAGCCAAATTCGAAACCAGCATTTACCTCATGTCTTTCTTCACCATACACTGTTCCACCATTCTGTTTTTTCCTTTATTCCATTTTTCTTATGTAATTTATTTTACCCCATATGCCCCCACCCCAACTACATTTTAAAACACATGCTACATGTTTTCAGTCAATTTATGGACTCCAGAAGAGTCCAGCATGTCACATTTTCCACTGTCTCACTGTACTTTATACACTTTACACTATTTCCCACACATACACTGAGTGAAGAACCTCCCCATCTTTGAACAGTTTGTCTTATTACATTTAAGTAGGCTTTATAAGTTCAAGAGAGGTATCACAGCTTTGTATCAAGTTAAAAAAAATATCTGTTAATAGGATGATAGCTCCACTTCAAAAGAAACCCTAAGTTTCTGTGATTATCTCAAGGACCACATGGCAGACACTGAGGTGGGGAATGACATTACAGGAAAAATTGGCAACCACGTACTTAATTTATATCACGTGCCCATGCAGGCAGGTAAAATGCATTTCAAAGACAAGCCTCACTGTGTTGTTCAGAGTTACATATACTCTCTTATGACAAAGAGTAGGGGGGATTTGTGTCTTTACACTTCAGTTCCTTACACGGTATTTCAAACAGAGTCTTGCTGAGAGGAATTTCTTCTCTCCTTAAGAAAATATTTATAAAGTTGAGGATATCAAAACAATGATCTTAAAAATGAAAACAAAAGCAACCCAACACCCTAGAAAACTACAATGATGAGAAGGCAGAGTCCAACCTCCTATTATACGAGAGTCCTAGGCATACTCAAACAATGAACAATGCCAGCCCCAGTCACATATTAAAATCACCGTTCATCTTTCAGGTATTAGTCTTCCAAAAGATTAAACTCTGTCACAAACCAGTTAACTTTTTTGCAAGTGAAAGCCAACATCTACACGATCCTGCTTCCAATTAAAAGTGAAATTACCTACTTAATTATCACTTAATCTTTTAAAAAATTAGAATCTCCATTAAGCATTTGAAATACTTATAATTTAAAATTCAGTGAAGTTGAAGTTGTGTTTAGGAAAAGCATCGGAAACAAAAGGACTGTATCATGTTGCTAGCTGGCCACAACTTTTATACCTATCACTTCTATCTCTATGAGCAGTAACAGCATTATTTTTTAAAGCAGTAAACAATATATCATACCACCTTCTCAAGAACCTAGTCCTTTTTCATTTTGTTTTTCTCAATTCTGAGGACTTTTATAATTAAAATTCTTTGAGATTTCATTCCTCACAATTTTTTGCAGAATGTTCTCACATTCCCACATTTGTTCTCACAAATAAATAGATTAAAAAAGTGTTAAGTTCTATGAAAATGTGTTTTTAATTGTGAGCATAATTGATCTCAATTTAATAAACATCTGAGTCTGTATTTATGCAAATAATAATTTCCTGAGAATACCAAATTGTATTCACCATAATAAAATAACATATGACTTACAGGAGCTGCGGGGAAGTAGTTAGAAAGTTCAAACGGCTCCTCGGAAATCCAATGACCCAGCTCCAAAGACCACAGTACCTACAAGTGACACAATAAGCACAACATTTATTATAGATTCATTAGGCTCTTGGTGGACAATAAACCACTTTGAAGATGTAGCCAAAACAAAACAAAAAGCCCAGCAGTGAATGTGCGCTCCATAGATCTGAACCAGATGTGTCTTAAACACCAAAGTGCCATCAGAATCTCCATGTTGCATCGATCTTATGAATAATAAATGCTTGTTTAAGAAAAAAGTCTCACCATGATTAGAAATCTGGGTTATTATCCTACGGAGGCCAAATACTAAACATTACCCCAATAACAAACATATGAATTACTTTTTTAGGAATTCCAAGTTTCCAATTTAAGGAGTCATTATAGGAAATCCTCAGTAAATATTCCAGGATTTTATTAATTTTAAAAAAAACATTTATTAGGAAAAGATAGGTCAGAAGCTTAAATTCAAAAAGCGACCCCTCTTGGCATGTGACTTTGTTTCTAACATGGATGAGTATTTTCAGAAGTTCTCCTAAAGCACTTGAAAATCCTTCCCAGACTCTGGAAGGATAAAATGTCTCATAAACAAGTTTTCATTATTATTAATATTTATTATTGTTATTTGAACCCACATATTTTAAATGATCAAAACAATGTTTTTGTTTTTAATTCAGTAATGTTCAAGATTCTGTAGTCTTCTCTACTTGATGAACCAATTCCCTGAAAATCTGTTACTACTTCTATGAACCAATAGAATTTTCTAACAAAAATAATCAAACTGAATTACCTATCCCACGTTTATTTTATTTTTAAAAAAAATTTTTTTTTCAATGTTTTTTATTTATTTTTGGGACAGAGAGAGACAGAGCATGAACGGGGGAGGGGCAGAGAGAGAGGGAGACACAGAATCGGAAAGAGGCTCCAGGCTCCGAACCATCAGCCCAGAGCCTGACGCGGGGCTCGAACTCACGGACCGCGAGATCGTGACCTGGCTGAAGTCGGACGCTTAACCGACTGCGCCACCCAGGCGCCCCATCACGTTTATTTTTTATCTGCAATTTTCATTTCTTACATTCAGTGAATTCACTCTTTTTACTAGAGTTGCTACATAAAGCTTAAGTTCTTTTTGCCAAATTACTGGGGATGAGGAGGGAGTCTTCCTGTTTGGTAGTTTCTAAGGTTCAGACCCATCTACGGGATATCGGTCTTAAATATTTTCTTTTCATAAAATAAAGCTAGTACTTTTCCAACGTGAGTCAGCAATATTTCATTTCCAAGAAAAAGTGAGCATGCTAGTGGAATGAAGACAATAACAAGATACAGAACCCGAATGATAATTCTGAACACTGGGCTGGATCTCACTTTAAACAGACACATTTATTTACGTAACAACTGCTTTCTTCAGCTCACTATCCATTCATCTGGGAACAACTGACTGAGAGCCTACTGTGATTAGAACCCATGCTAGGTCCCGAAAACACAAATCCTGTCCCAGAGGAGTTCACTCTCTGGCAGGAGGCATGAAGGCAAACCACAAATGGTGGTTTCTCAAAACAGTTCTGTGGGAACCTATAGAAGGAGGCAAACTAACTCAGTCTAGGAGAATCAAGGACGGGTCCACGGATGAGGTGACATTTTAAACGGGGTCTTCATCAAGCAAAGAGAGACACAGTGGGAAGGGAGAGGACATTCCAGCACAGAGAGAAATTTCACGTGCCATGGCAGGATTAAAGCGGGTTCTTTTTTTGGCTAAAGGGTGCTTTGGAAGAAGTGGTAAGAAAATAGAGTTGGACCCTGCTTCCATCCGTGTGCATGCAGGGGCATTTGCACATGGCGGAAGGACTGCTGGCTGGGAGGAGCCGGACACAATCATAAGAGGCAAGAGAAAGAGCTCTAATGGTGTTGGGCCCCAGATAACAGGATGGGAATGGAGTATAACGTGGGGAAATGTGTCTTCATTAGAGAGAGCAAGTAATGGGTTGTGTTCTCAGAGACTCTGCTCCACAAACACTTGGATCTGTGTATACACCAGCATTATGTCAGTTAAGTCTTTGTTTTCCCTTGATTTCTGTTGGCTAACCAACATAAATGTGTGTGTGTGTGTGTGTCTTCAGAAGATATGAGAAAAATGGTACGCTGAAATCATGTTTCTACCTGGCTCTTTAGAGGTGACTAAAACATTGAATTAACACAGTGTTTACCTTACTTTCATCAGTCAGTGTATGGCATCATTTATAGAGATACACTGACATGTGTGTCCTGAGATTAGCCCAGGAAATAACATGTAAAAAGTTTCAAGATCAGGGGCGCCTGGGTGGTTCAGTTGGTTAGGCATCTGACTTCAGCTCAGGTCATGATCCCACAATTCATGGGTCTGAGCCCCACTTTGGGCTCTGCACTGACAGTCAGAGCCTGAAGCCTGCTTCAGATTCTACGTCTCCCTCTCTCTCTCTGCCCCTCCCCTGCTTGTTCTCTCACTCTTGCTCTCTTTCTCCAAAAATAAATAAACATTAAAAAACAGTTTCAAGATCAGGTTCATTTCAGACATGAGGCAATGTGAAAGAATTAGTATACTGAAAAGGTACCAGTGAGAGAGAATCCAAGGAACCAGTCTTAAAAATGCATGTGGCATTTGAGTTCAGATGTAGTCCACATTAAAATGTTAATTGAATTTAACCTCATAAAAGAAAATTTATGTTCTGAGTTTGTCCCTTTCTAAATGACATGAAAACAAAACCAGAAGGCATTTACAGAATTTTGGTGAGTGAATTAATAAATTGAATTTATGTAGGCATCCCAGGAATTAATATTGAACAGAGATAGCAGAAAACACTAATTTGATTGCAATGAAATCATTAAATCAGAAGTACAGTGCAAGCTTTTTGTTTCAGTTCTTTCATTAGCCAAACTTATCTTTACCTTAGTAGAATGTCCAATATTGGGAAAATCTACTTTGCAAGGTCACAGTTAAGGCTGTAAGTGAACTAAAAGGTGAACCCAACATTATTTCTCGTCATATATGAGATAGGATAAAAATAATTGAGAAGCTAAACTAAAGTAAGAAATTGGGTTGCATAAACACAGAGGATCAAATCCCATGCTTAAAGCCCTTAAAACGAGGGCCGACTTATTTCAACATCCACTGCAAATGAATCCAATATTTTTACATTTTAGAACTGTCATTCATAAAACTTGAACCCTGTTGGTGAATTTAAATGGGAGGTGCTTTCTGGCTTTATTATTAGATTCATAGCTACTGATGAGACAACTTTCCACAATGGAGGTGTGACCATGCAGATCATTCCACACCAGGCAAAACACAAATGGTCTTCTCTCATTTTATATAAATCTAATCATTCTATTTGAACAGTGCGAGTCGGTGGAGCTACGGTGAACCCAAGCCAGAAAATGGTATCGATAGTGAAAGCAAGTCAATCAGAGCATCATGTGCAAGGAAGACAATGAGGCCAGCTTAGGGTTCACACACAGCAAAGTGAGCACATCTTTACCTTCAAAATCTCCCAATATTCCACATAAAAGGATGGAATTAAAAATAGTGAGAAAAGAGTCCACAGCAGATAAAACAGGGTGATATCTTGGAAGCTGCAAAGCAGATACATAAATGACAAATGACTGAGAAGGACAAAGAAAGTTCGGACTTAAGTGTCTGGAAAAGGAGGTCAAGAGGAAGCACCAAAGTCCCTCCACACACTCCCTGAAAGGCAAAGAAACTGGTGGCAGTGGATGCCTCTGAAAATGGGGCGTCGAACAGGGTAAACAGGAGAAACCTCCTACCCCCTAGCCCACCCTCTGCTGGAACAACAGAAAAGCCAAGTCCCACAGGCTGTGTGAGAGCAGTGGTGGAAAGCATAGGGGAGACCTCTCCAGCCCTCCACTCCCCCCCCCGCCCCCATCCCTCCTCCCGGGGTGCCGGCACAGAACCCCGCAGGCAGGCGGGATGGCAGGACACCAGCCATGCTTTCCTGTACGCTAATCAACCCAGGGAAAAAAGACACAAATACTAACGCTCACACCTCAAACACCTCCATTCACATCTAATCGTCTATAAGCCACTCAGGCAGGCAGAGTTTCAATCAGCTTTTCAGTGCCTCATAACTGAACATGACTTTATACCCATTTGATGAAATCCTCTAGCTTGTAAACATGGACCAAACCAAGTAAGAATGGAATTTCTGGGATCACAGTGATGGAAGTCCCTGGATAATAGCAGCTCTATAGATTATCGATAGAGAACCAGTCTCAAGGGGAAGAAGACAAAGGGGTTCATGGGTGGTGTTCCAAGAATAATAAATGAGACTAGAAGGTGAACTGGTGTATAGATGTATTTGAGAGAAGAATTATAATGCTTTTAGAAATTTTTGCAGGGAGTTGGTGACAGGTACATACAAAACTAAGCAATCAAAATGACTGTCAATGATTAGCTCGGGAAAACCAACAAACAAAAATTACCAGAAATGAATCATAGTACCTTACATGGTTCAGTTCAAAAAGCACCCATATACTCATTCGTGTGTGTGTGTGTGTGTGCGCGCGCGTCAATGTGTATTTACATGCAAAATAAATGTTAAAAATCATAACCATATTGAGTACACTGGGGAACAGAAGAGTGGATAATACTAAAAGACAGCTATACAGGCATACTATGATCTTCCTCAGAAGGAAGTCAATGTCTCCAAGTAAAAAAAAAAAAAAAAAAAAAAA